ATATGCTGCTTGAAGTTAAGGATAAGAGTTGAACCTAGTGATCCCAACTGTGCTAAGAGTCCTGTTAGGTACCTGAAGAGCCAATCCAAGCTTTCATTTTGTGGCTGTAGCCACATAAATACATTTTTTATGTCTATAAACAGGAGAGAAAGTTCAGCAGTGCAACTACACCCTGTTTAAGGGATGCAAAACTTCCAATTCAACTCATTCAGTGAAATGGAAAATACCAAGTGGTATATTCGAAAGTCGGTTCAACTATATCATTTTAAAGTATTGAGATAATTTCTCAGCTGTTTGTAATGTGAAAAGACCTACCTTGGGGTAATATTAGTAATGTCTCTTCTGTGTTCTTCACCCCTGGCTTCCACATTTTTTTTTTTGTTTTGCTTGTTTTTATACAAAAATTTTATACCAGATTTTCATTAAATTCATTCTTTATATTGAAGACACTAAATCAAAGAGGTGAAGTGATGTACTTAGAAAAGCCATACAAAGGAGAACTGTTGCATCAGACCCTCAGTCCAGGGTTCCTGTCTCCCTTGTTGCACTCAGAAGTGATTTCAGTGATTAAAGCTGTACATATAGATGACTAAAGGCCCATCTTTGGATGAGGGTCTTCCCTACCTGCAGGAAGCTTAGAATTAAGATTAAAATACAGAAAAAAAGCCATGGACACACTGACAATTGGTGCGCTCACCCATCTTGATGATTATTCTCCCCTACAGCTGCCAGGCTACAATCATACCAGTTCTTGCCCTATCTCCATCATTTCTATCTTTCTACCTCAAGGCTAGTGTTTGGTTGAGTAAAACCTTTTATGCTCTCTTATGGGCTGCCTGCTGTGCAGCAGGGATCCAGTTCAAACACTCTAAAAAATGAACCCAATAGATTTTAAAGCTGTTGATGTGAGACTCCTTTACTGGCCACTTTCAGGTCAGGCTGTGATGACTGCTGATCAGCAGCTGTAGCGGAAAGCAATTCTGGGTGTGCTATCAGAGCAGCCCTCAGAGTCCTAACAGCCAGGGCTTCATTCTTCCTCCCTCTCTTTTATCCTTTGTTCGCTGCCCAGCTATGAGGCTGGTGTGTATCTAGACAGCTCAGCAGTTGAGCTGCTGGTGGTGAATGTTACAGAGCAGTTTACATGCCTTGTGTCATAAGCCCTGTAAATGCCTAGTAAAACATGGTATTTAATGGAAGCATATCAGCTCATTTTAAAGCCTCATCACCTGGTGCTGAGCAAACTGTTGCTGCGTTGCCTTTTTAATCAGTTACCACCAAATGTGTGCACGTGTGAGAAGGGTTTTAAACACTTCTCTGTCCACTTCCCAGCAACTAACCGACAAGCCTACAATCCTCTTATTATGCCTTCGAAACAGAGTCCATTCACTGTTATCTACAGCGCATGTTATCGCAGGGTATTCTGCAGAGCCAGGCTTACAGAACATATCCCTTATGTTTCTTGTGCACCAGGTACATATCAGTTAGACACAGACCTACCAGGCACACACATACCTCTGAAGGAATGTATAACAGGATGTTCGGGAAGTTACACCTGATGCAGTGCTTTGTTTGCAGAATGGAAATACAAGAGACACTCCAGCAGTAACCATTGCTGATATAATGCTAATTGGGGCCTGAGACATTGACACAACCATGTTAACTCTCTGTGTTAGAGAGGCCAGACATTTGACACTCCGCAGGATGCTGTTATCCCACCATATATGTCTCAAACATATACCCCTCTGCACAGGCTGATGGAAGATCCTTCACTCCTGGATTTCATTTAAATAGTGCAGTCTTTGGGGCAAATTGTTTTTGGTTTTGTTTTGGTTTTTTTTTTTTTAGAACATACCAGGTGTAATCCTCTAAATTCTGAATCTTTGATGTATTTCTTTTAGGAGAATACAGTCAGTCATACTAACTGGAGTAATTTGGAACAGATTTCCACATTTAATGATACCTTATTTTCTTTGTTGTTTAATTTTCTTACTTTTCTTATTGAAAAAAGTTACTGTCCACACTGACAATGTCAGAATTGAAGTAACACTTATCAGACTGAAAGTCTGTCTCCCGTTTTCATGCATGTAAGGTATTAATTTATTTCAGTAATTACAAAGTATATTTCAGTCACACAAGCCTGAACAAAATGCATAATCTCACCCAATGTAGAAATATATCTATCACAGGCTCACACAGAGGTTTTTATAGATCATAAAGTTAGCACGTAAACCCTGAGGAACATGAAGAGATTTAAAAATAAACCCACAACAAACCAAATCCACTTATATAATGGCAGGAAATGGGGTAGTACTATGATCTTATTTGCCACGAAGGCTGTAAAGGAAAGAAGCTGTCAGGTAGAACTACATGCCACCAGTGGAAACAGAAGACTATTCAGAGTTTGTTCAATTTTCTTACCCGTCAACAGGAACAACATTAGGCTAAATTAATATTTTTGTAGAACCTGGAGATCCTCATTTGGTTTGATCTCTGCATGGAGCCAGTATAGCTGGTTTCTGAATGTGGGGGGTGATCTGCTTTGCAGTCTCTGTTCAAGGCCATGGTGTTCCCTGAATCTGAGGCTGTCTCAGTCTTCACTTCTTAACCCAACACTAGAAGCTTTGAACAATTCTAGTCTCCCTGATCCTGTTTCTATTAAAAACAAAGCAAAAGCCCCCACAACTCAATAACATCACAGCGGGATGAACGCAGTCCTAAGAAATACATCTCTGAAGGCAGATTTCCTGAGTACTTGCCCTATCAGTTCACGGTTTTTGGGCTCACTGTATTTTCTTCATTAATTTGCTTGACTTGCTGCCTGCATGTAGCTAGATAGTTAATAGAGGCACGCCTGTCCTTGGAGGCCAATATGAACTGACTGGCTGTGTCTTTGGTTCAGGTCCATTAAAAAATCTGAGCATTAATTAATCACTGACTTGCAAATAGCTTAGAAGAGCTGTTCAGGCTAAACTGGAACATTCGCCAATTGTTTTACTTTTGGTCACAGGCACTTTGGTGATATGAAACTTCTCCCCTGCCAGGATAGGATATGCATAAAACCAGACACTCCTGGGCTAGAGCAGACCAGCTTAGAGACTGCTTCCAGCATCTCAATTTCTTTCCCTAACTAGGAAAATGCACACATAAGGAAGAGCTGCCCTGTTCACTCTTGATAGAATCCCTCCCCATTGAAAAGGGAATAATAAGATCTACCAGGGCAAAATGCCAGTGGAGCATACTACATGGGCAAAGAGCCTTCCCTGCTTGCTGTTTGCCAGGCCAGTCAAAACCAGCTTCTCCTCCTTTGTCACCCAGCTAGGTGAAATCATTAATTGTAGAAATCAAGCTGCTGCTTGAGCCTTCAATTAATCATCACCAAGAAGGATCTCTGTGATCTGGGGCCTATTTCCTGTGCTCTAGTTGCTGATGGTCACGATGAATGGAACTGAGAGTGATGCAGCTCTGTCTGCAGAAGGCAAGCCAAGCAAATATATAGAGATGTTAGACCCCACACCTGAAACCTCTGTAATGTGAGGCATGAAACAAAAATCGTTATGGAAAAGGAAACTAAGCCACCATGACATACAAGTCATGATAAAAAAAACATATTCAAGGGACTCATGATCTCATTTGTATAGGGACTCTTCCCACTCCTCACTGCAAAAACCATTCTTGATAAATAAGGAAGATAAATAAGCAGTTGTCAGTACAATAAGTACTAAGTGAAGAGGAAAATTAAAGGTGAAACTAAGGCACGTGTTCTTAAAATGCCAAATTATCAATGTAAAAAAAAAAAAAAAAAATCCTAAACCTAATAGTAATGATAATTTTTTCCTCAGTGGTAAGATACACTACGTAGGCATATGTTGCAAGAAGCTATTCCTTGGAAATAGTTAAACTCACTGGGCAACAAAGAGCTTGTATTCCAAATGCTCAAGTCTGATAAGTTGCCTTAATATATTAATCTCCCTTCTTCCCCCAAATTTCACTTTCAGTGGAGAAGCCAAACCAGAAACCCCTAAATGATTAAGAATTATTTTCCCTGCTCCCTGTTTCTCATGCTTATTCCCACACAGTGCGCACATATGCATGGATGGTGAAGAATTATGTTTCATATGAAAATTTCCTCCTCGCTACCCTGAAGCTGTAAACCTTACCCAACTTCCGAAATGCAGTGGAGAGGTAAATAGGCAATCACAGCTAATCTTTCTCCCTCTGCAGTGTTTCAAAACCTGTGGAAATTTCAAAAGCTACCGAGATAGAATGACAAAATGAAATAACACACCCAAGCTTGAGGTATGGGCAACTGGTTATTTGATTGAGCATGGTGACAAAAAGAAAAACATAAAACCAGATCATAAGACCAGTCAGAACAATTGTACAAATTGTTGATATATTGAGATAGCCAGATGGATATGTGTTTTTTGAGGAATGAGACACTGCTTCTATTTGAGCACTCAAAAATGCAAACAACTTCGTCGATTTTGTTTGCAGAGCTCGCTTTCCATTTCGTTGTCAACCGGTATTAAAGATCTGGCCCTGAGGCAGCTGCAGAACCTAACGGATTCTTTAGAGCCTTTCAGTTGCAGTTCAAAAGCGGAGAAGATATTTTAACTCAGTATCAAAGATGCACCTTCAACTTGCTATTAACACAGTAATACAAACACAGGGATAATGAAAGAATAAGGAGAGAAATGAAGAAAGAAATGGAAGACTGTGGAAGGGAATGGATCACAGGCTCTCCAGGACTAGTTTCTGTAATAAGTGTGTGAGACAATCTCCTACAAGAGGGAAATGGCTTATTTGATCTAATATGCCTTTCTCTTCTTGAATTTCCACAATATGGAGAATCAATATGAGGGAAATTAAAGCATCAGGAGCAGACTCACATTTCCACTTGTGTGTTCCTATCTCAACAAACTCTTACTGAGGTAGAAGTATTTACCTTAAGTGCCTGTTTCACGTGTGCTGCAAGAAGATGAAGGATTTCAAAAGGATACATGCTTCTTCTGTGTAGGGCACAGGAGAAGTAGGTCCACCCAATACATAGCTGTAGAATGAGACTTCCAGAGTGTAGCAGTAGGATGTATCATTTAACAGCCCACCAAGAAAACGCCGGCCTGTCCCTGCTTTCACAGCATCTCTGTTGAACGATGTACTGGACTGCAGGAGGAAGAACACAAAGACACGAAGAGTGTTCATGAGTGTAACAAGGAAAGGGTTGGTAAGAGTCTGTTATAATAGAAAATCCACATTGCCAAATCTCATTTACACTATACGAGACTGAACTATTTTTTGAGCATGGCCTGGAGAGACCATTAATGGGAACACAGTTCTGGCACACAGACTATAAATAATGCCTTACAGACTTTCACAAAATGCATCTCAGTTCACTAGTAACATCAGCTTTTCTCCTCCTGTTTTGGATTACACAAATAAAGCCTGTCATTTGCATGAGTTGAAAGTAACCATTGCAGACCTTCCATTCTCAAAAATTAAGCTGGACTATTATTGGATACTGGGCCCCTTCTCTGTATTGCATTCCTCTGTATCATGACCATTCTCCCCCACACCTTATCCTAGACTCCTTTAAGTGGCATTTACATTTTAGTGAAACTTTCTCACCTAAGACATTTAACTGGTTCTTAAATTAGGTCACACAAATTTCCACTTCACTAACTTAAATGTTAACTAGGTGTTGCTCTCTGGATGGAAAAATATACTGCACTATTTTGCAGTATTAGCAGCACAGTACAAAAGGTAGTATTTTGTGCTATTACTGAAGATCTGTCTTTAAGATCCCTATAACTTTATGACTATTCATTTGAGGGATGGAGGGGAGGACTTCAAGGATTTCCATAAATGAGTTTTAGCTCCCCTTTGTAGGCATGATATCTGGAGACTAAAGGGGAGCTCATCTTCAGGTTGACTGAAGTCTCAGAGTTTGTTCTACCAGCTACATAAAAAAATGGATCCTGATTACATTTTGGTTATCAGACTATTCACAAACCTCATAACCATTAAACTGAGACAATCTGAGCTCAGCACAAGCTAGTGAGTGTTACAGGTTAAAGTTGAGATGCCTTTTTCTGCTGTTGCAATGCAACTCTTCCTCAACTTTAACCTGCATAAATGTCCTTAATATCTCCTGCTTTAAGAGTTTTATGCTACCAGTGAAGTATAAAGGACACTTAACAGTTTTACCGCTCAGTCATTGTGGCCATGGTGAATTCTTTGAGCTATCCATGGTCCTCCTACTGAGTCTTAAGGCTAGGATCATGTCTTGCTAACAGTAGTATTTATCAAGTCCATCTCTTATGAAAACAGGGAAAATAGTATTTCTTTCTTATTTAAAAAATTAGATGCAATGGTTCAAAATGTTAAACTTCTCTAGACTGAGAAAATCAGACTAATACTGAAATGAGCAACAATTATTGATGAACAGTGTATACCAGAAGAGACAAAGAATGGAAATGCCTGTGGTTTTATTAACATTCTGAATGTTTTGAAGTCTCTCTCGTGTTATAAAAAGGAAGGCTTTCCAGGTTAATTAAAATAAGATGGAATTGGGTTTCTTATTAGCATTATATATAGGAGTTTCCAAATGCAGCTTCTTGTCTTTGTGGTAACATAATATTTAGCTTTGTGGTAAATTGTACACTGAATATATTCTGCTATGTACATATCATATAATTTCCTCCAAATTACATGGCAGAAACCTTGAGGATATTCTAAATACATATGGGACAGGGAGGTAATGTGCTCATAAGGACTGATGGGGAAATTAATTGTTAATTTGATATATGGAATAAAATACTTAAGGAGGTCTACAAGAGGGAATGTTCTCCGACTTCCTGCAAAAGAAGCCTTCAAAAGACTACTGAGACCCTGAAACTGAGGGAAGTTTTGTTTTCAGTTAAAATTCAAAAACATAAAGGAAGATGATCATGCTCTGGAGATTGCTTCATAAGTCAAGTAAACAATTTCAATGGAGAGTGCTTTGTGTTCAAATGAATGCCTGTGGTGGAGCTTTTAATGCACGAAAGCATCAGCTGATGAATATCGGTGTATGGAGCCAGCTCAAAGGAAGACAAGAAATATGTCGGAACATGGTATTGTGGTTTGTGAGCAGAAGCATCACTTACAAGGGGAATAAGCTAATTCTGTGGTTCTATTTGGCACAGCGAAAACCAGGAAAATGTTGGGAGAAGTGATTCGGGGCAGACACTGGGGACAGAAGTGCTTCAGTGATTAGGAGACTCAGTTACTGATATAGAGTATCTATGAAGATTATGCAATCTCATCAACAATGTTTAAGAACAAATTGGATAAATATCTGCTGATTATAGATCACGTCTTTGGGATACAGTTTGGTCATGAGGTCCTTTTCAGCTGTATTTCCCATGATTTCAATGAGGCTAGAGGAAGGTTATGAGTTGAATTCCTCATAGATAATTCTTGAGATAAATCTTACATAATATTTTCATCACAGCTCTTGGCACAGTAAAGGAGGACCATGCCAACAAAATTTTGCTGATGACACACTGTGGAATGAATCATCATTATGGAGGAGGCTCTGAATATCATACCAAAAAGAAGCAGTGGGATGACTTCAAGGATCAGAGTGATAGTAGTCCGATGAAACTCAGCTGCACAAGTGCCAGGTCATGTACTCAGGGCCTAATAAAAAAAAAACAATCTCTGCTCTAAGCTGAAACCTCATCAGCTGGAAATAGATGAAGAGAGAGTCTGATGTATTACTTCACTGAAGTGATTTTTGCTTTCTGGCAGAAAATAGCTCAGAAGTTGGATCTCGTTATTGGCAAAATTATACTTGCCATATTTCAGAAGTGAAGCATAAGTAGTTTAAGTAATTTGAAGAAGGTTTTGTAAATGGCCAAAAAAGAAAAAAAAAAAATTGATCTTTCCAGAGGTTGAATTTCTATAATTCTGTTTTGTGGTGTTTGGGTTTTTTTTTTTTTTTCCCTCTGTTTTTTGTTTGTTTATTTAATGGAACAATTCCAGTTTCAGCTGTGCAAAACTGCTTGAAATGACAAAGGCATTAATAAAATCACCTGTTCATTTCTTTGCCAGGTAGTGATGCACTTCTAGGAATAAAAAGAAGCTGAACCTTCATTTAGGTGCATAAAGGTAGATTTTGCAAGTAAATTTTGTCCTCCTTTTGAAAAAAAAATCTGATGGCATAGACCAACTCGATGTCTTGAGTAAAAACTAAGATCTCTGATTTGGCTCAAGTAAGTTGGGGTAGAGAAAATATTACATAAGTGTTTCAAATATGAACACATGCATGTTTTGAAACAGCAGCTTGGGCTTGGCTCTAAAGAAAATGCTATGAGCCAGAATGTGATTTGACGTTTTAGATAAAAAGAAGAAAATTACAGATTCAGGAAAATTCAACTAAAGATAAGGAAGTGCAGCAGGTACTTGATTGAGTCCAACCTTCTACTTACTGTTTCAGTTCAAGATAAGTAACTCCTCACCAGAACTGATCTTGGCAACTGATAATGCTGAAACAAAA